CTCCATTTTTCTGCAGCCTTTTTATCTGTTCCTCAAGACTCTCCCTGAAAGAAATCTGTACTCCCTCTGCCTCCCCTGGTGTACTTCTCAGATTCCAATTGGCATTTAGCTTATCTAGGTGTTTGCATATTTTATATTTTGTGGGCATGTCTTTACACTTCATGGCCAACTCATGCCAAGCTTCATTAGATATATTCAATTTGTCCTTCAAGTAAACCCACATATTGATGTCATCAATATCATTGTCAGTCAGTTCTCTTGGCTCTGTTTCCAATAGTTGTAACTCTCCCTCTTCTACCAATGAAATAGTTTCATATTGTTGAGTGTCATTATTAAATACCTCAACCTTGGTGGCAATAAAATTGTAGAGGCCTAAAAATGACAGTGCTGAGTGGCAGTCTTCTTTAAATCCTCGCCTTAATCTTGCCTGATGTTGTTTGGTATAATCAGTGAAACGTTTGCTTTTGTTTGAACCTCTTTGTCCCTTTTTTTGCATTCTTGCTGCTTTTTTCGCTAATCTTGCTAATTTTTGTTTGTATTGTTCTTTCTGTTTTCCGAATCCCTAATAACATCTTCAAGCTCCTGCTCAATCCAGTTCAGCTTTCCTTTTCTGCCCACGAAGCTGTTGGTTTTCCTCAATCAATGTGTTTGTTTGTTGTTGTTTTCAAGCTCATGATAGAAAATTTTGAAGGAGTAGTTTTTTGTCTTCCACGCATCAATAAGCTTCTTTATACTTTTCCCTCCACTTTTTGACGCTTTCTTGAACGCTGAATGGAGGAGAGAAATCTTTTTCCTGAAGACGTTGAGAATTCTGTAATTTATAACAACTCCGCGAATCTCAGATTCCCTCAATATTTTTTCCACGATTCCCACAATTACAGAATCAGCACTTTTGTCGTTCGGCTCTTGATCAGACTTCTTCGACAGGGAATATATGAGATAGCTGATTAAAAAAAAATCAATTCGGTGAAAAAAAATTGAAAAAAATTAAAAAGAAAAAAGAAACAGGTTGGAATACACTTCGATAAGCGCAATTTTTACTTACTTGTTTATTTAGTAAGTAAACCAAGGCAGTTTTTCCCCTTTTGGACCATTTGTTTCTTCGCCGAAATCGTTTTGTGCATCTACCGCCACCGCGAGAAGAGCCAGCGAAGAAAAAATCACCAGCGCGTAAACTTCGAGTCCCATTTCCCGAACCCAAACAATATCCAAACCTCATGTATTATACATCAAATTGCGCCAAATTTATTGTTTTTTTCGTATTTCGCGGTAATGACCAGTTTTAGGCATGCGCTTTATAGTTATAGCCCCAGACTCCATGGCCACTGCTTGCATGTGGCGTGAACCCCTCTTCGACATGTCTGAATCGCTAACCATGATTCTCAAAAACCCGAACGAAATATTTTAATGATTGCCTTCAAATGCAGTGGTATAGAAAGCTTATGTACGTTAGTTTTAGAAACTGAAGGTAAGAAAGATAGCAATTCAAATGAAATACACGAAAAAGAGGAAAATGTTCGAAAATTAGCGTGTTTTTGACTGACCTTGGACTGCGTGACATGTCACGAAAATCTACAGAGGCAGATGTTAAACGTAAGTTTAACAAGTTGTTCCGACGTCCAAAGAAACGATTTTAGAAAGAGATTATCCCTTTTTTGCCGCTCTTTTATCAGAAATGGATTTGGGTAATGCTGATACAAGGGAAGCGTAGATTTTTGCCTGAAAAATCATGAAATTTGTAAGAAAATCTACCTACTAACTTGTCTCCATGTCAAAAGACGAAAGAAATAACTTCGTTTTTTGACAGGAATAACAGTAATGGAAAAGCAAGCTTAAAACGGTGGAGAAAGCCAGAAAATTCAACGGACACAGGATTTCATCGATTTTACGTGTAAAATGTTCATATTTCGAAATATTTATCCATATTTTGTTTCCCAATGCTATTCCTTATAACGTGTTCATATTTTCAACGGTTCCTCTCGTAACTCAACACCGAGTCACACAACAGTTGCATCATATCATAAGATCTGGATTTTTTTTTCTACGCTTGCTGTCATGCCGGGAGCGAATTTTGGCCCATCTTGCTACTGAACTAATAGACTAGGATTCTTTGATTAAGTGTTATGAATATAAGTACTGTTTCACTTAAGTATTTTCGCACTGACAAATGATGCGAAAATTCGAAAAAGAAGCCGTCATTTGTCATTTGCGGTGCTAAATCTTAACATAACTGTGCTATAACATAAGCCATCATTTAAAGCGCCTTGGGAATTATTTGCAATCATTGCGTAGATTACCTCTCTTGTCTTTCCCATTGTGACTCGTTTTGCCCTATTTTACTCTTCTTCACAATGCGGTGGGATTTCTTCTTATCTTTCACCATTTCACGCTAATGACAAAGGCAATACAAGAGACACTCAGCCTAACGATTATTCGCATTGGCGCACAAACACTTGTGTGGCGCACAAACACTTGTGTGACGCACCTTAGCAGACCATTACATAACAATAGGTAACAAGAGACTGACTGTGTCTGACAAAGGTTGAATATGAAACACATTAAATGGTTTATTGACTAGTTAGTTGTTTATTGGCAAAATATTGAGGCTGGAAAATCACAAAAGAGTCACGCTGTCCTTGTCACGATGTTTCTGTCAGAAAAATCACAGCGGAAAAATGTCGCTTCGTGGAAATTAAAAGTGGATTGTCACAGTCGCAAAATGTCGCTCCTTTTCTGCTAGTTTTTGTCGGCTGTCGGTTCATCGGAACAAGATTGTCGCCACATTTTTTAGCAATGTCACTTGTCGCCAATATCTCTTGGAAGGCCTCGTCGCAATCAGTGACAACAGTTTTTCGGTTTTAGAGAGAAAGAAGTACGTAAGCCTTAAATACGGGTCCTCGATAACCGAGTTGATTTGTGATATCAACAGCTCGTCTATTTCGTTGCCGTTTTATATCGAATCGAGGTCACGCAGCATCACGATGCGGTGTGACAGTTGAACTTAATTAGAGTCTTTTAGCACATCTTTCCAAATATTTTGATTATGGTTTTTGAATAAATTCGTCTAAATCCAGCTTTTGTCACTTGTAAGGGAAAATGATACGTTTTGGTTCTGATAAGCCAACACAATCTTTAACTAGTAAAGTAAATTTCTTGTAAGCATCGGTTCTCCAGTGCAAACTGTTAGAATATGCAACTGACAATTACCAAGTTCAGGCTACCGATTTTTTTCATGTTACAATAAGACTTCAGATGTCGCGGCTACCCTATGCCTTTCGTTTAAAAATGATCGAGACTAGTTGTAACGTAATGTTATTTTTATAAAAAAAACGCTTTCTTTGCAAATATAGAGGTTCTCAGCGGGGTTAACCGTCAGCCGTAAAACGACCAAAAAATTTAGCCGTTAGGCGTAAAAATTGACAAAATTTAACAGTCAGTCGTAAAAAAAAGTTCACCGTAAAAAACATGTCTGGTGGAAACAATGGAAAAATGTTAACCGTAAATTGGCCAAAATTTTAACCGTCAGCCGTAAAAGCCATCACCCCACTGAGAGCCTGAATATAGTCTGTATATTTTTCGCGAATCGATCTCTGTCGTGGATAGGGACAAAGTTGGCTCAATATTTATGCGATACACAACACGAGGAAAATACAATTACGTGAATGCTGAATCTTTGCTGTGTGCTGTTTCAGTCACAACTTTGAACTTTGAGTTCATACGACATTTCCACTGTTCTGCCGTGTGGGAGCCAGTTGTTAACCCACTGACTAAGGACATTAGCTTCCGTTATGAAGCAATGATTACGTTGAGGAACCATCAGAAAAGTTCAAGTATTAGTATGCAAACACAGTAAACAAGTCCCAGTGTTTACGTTTTATTTTTCACAGCGACGCAAACAAAGATTCAGACAGTCTCTTCGAGGTAAAATAAATAGGTTTACCGATCAAGAAAAAACAAATGAGCTATTTACTTCCGTGTTTGTAGTTTTCGGACCTAAAATTAAAAATCCCTAATAAACCTCGTTGCCAAACTTAGGCTTTTAACCCGTGGAAGGCACTGTCTGTTATGGACTATAGGTGCCCGGCAGTCAGAAATTTTCTCTAATTAAGTTTCATCAGATAAGCTCTATTAGACTTGTTCCAAAAACTATCAAATGTTTATTTGGAAATTTCAATTGACTTCAAGATCGCATGGTCGTTTTTTAGTTGACGAAATATTCGAATATTACAACAAAATCGGTATTTTGACAAAGAAATTTGCCTCAACCTGGTCGTTAGAAACATTGACCGAATTTCTGCAGGTCATTTTGTGAATCCAATCAGAGTGTTCGATATATATTGACAGAGGCCAAGCAATTCTAAAAATGATTTTGGTATTTCAAAGACGCATTTTCTGAGCTTGAGCATACGACCGTAAAATCACTATTAATCTTATCCTCATTATAATATTCCTAACAAAGTAGAATCATAAAGTTACTTGTCGGCAGAGGTAGTACATGCTATTAACTCTCACTGACGGAAATCTCTAAAATCCAAAATCGAATCACGGCCAAAAGAATAGCATGTTTACTTATCAGTTTTGATCAGAAATAAACCGTGTAACTGAAACACGCTAAAGTCGTCAGTTTCCGAACACAATAGCCTTTGTGCATGATTAACTGCATTTTTCGTCGCTTTGAATTGATCAAAGCCGTGAAATAAAAATGAGCATCATTTTGCCAAGCTTCTCTTAAAACAAAAATTTTCGCATTATTGTAGAAAGCCCTTAATTGCCATTTTTTTGACTGATTTCTAAGTACATATTGACTTTTATCGGCGAAGGGTTCCGCTTTGTAGACTATCCTATCTATAATAGAATATCAATCGTAGTCAAAACAATAATCCATCCTTTGTTCTCTCTTGATTGTCAAAGGTAAATAAAACAGAGTCAACATGTTAAAAATTCAGTTTTTCTTTTCGAAGAGTGGCATCCCAATAGTTTCGTTGTTCACGCAGTGCTACGGCCATATCGCTTGTTTATCTCGGCCAAGTTAGACGTACTCAAAGCGTCCGGGCTAAAGGTAGGTGTCCTTAAAATTAGTTCTCACGCTTCGATTAAGGTTGGAATAAGCCAAACTAGAATCAGTATGAAAGATATTTGCCTTTGTGCGCACGTTTTTCTAAGAAGATTATAGCTTACATTAGAAAAACAGAGATGCTTATCTTCTCAACAAACTGAAGGTTAAGAAAAAAATCACGAAAAATTGCACCTTAGAATAAAATTAAAGATATTATGAGAAATGGTCGACATCATTCAATGAAATAAGTGTCATATATGAGCAAAACAGAACTTTCATTCAAACCGGAAGCGACTCGAATAGATGATAAGATAAAAAAATGATACCTCACTATTGTTGAAACTATTTACCAGATTTAGCTGATGTGCAATGAGTGTTATCTGTTCTCCTGTTACCCTGTTTTCCTGTTCTCTTGTTCCCCTGTCCTCCTGTTTTCCTGTTTCCCTGTTTCCCTGTTTCTCTGTTTCTCTGTTTCTCTGTTTCCTTGTTTCTCTGTTTCCCTGTTCCCCTATACCCCTGTTCTCCTTTTCCTCTCTTCCCCTGTTTCCCTGTTCTCCTGTCCCCTATTTCCCTGTTCTCCTGTTCTCTTGTTCTCCTGTTCTCCTATTCTCCTGTTCCCCTGTTCTCCTGTTCACCTGTTCCATTACTCACCTGTTCCACAACTCTCCTGGTCCCCTGTTGCCCTGTTTCCCTGCTACCCTTTCCTCCTGTTTCCCCGTTTCCCCGTTTCCCCGTTTCCCCGTTTCCCCGTTTCCCCGTTCCTCGGTTTCCCTGTTTCCCTGTTTTCCTGTTTCCCTACTTCCCTGCTTCCCTGTTTCCCTGTTTCCCTGTTTCCCTGTTTTCCTGTTTCCCTGTTCCCTTGTTTCCCTGTTCCCGTTCCCTGTTCCCCTGTTCCCTTGTTTCCCTGTTCCCCTATATTCCTGTTCCCTGTTCCCCTGTTTCCCCGTTCCTCTGTTTTCCTGTTTCCCTGTTTCCCTGTTTCCCTGTTTTCCTGTTTCCCTGTTTCCCTGTTTTCCTGTTTCCCTGTTCCCTGTTCCCCTGTTCCCTTGTTTCCCTGTTTCTCTGTTTTCCTGTTCCCTGTTCCCCTGTTCCCTTGTTTCCCTGTTTCCCTGTTTCCCTGTTTCCCTGTTTCCCTGTTTCCCTGTTTCCCTGTTTCCCTGTTTCCCTGTTTCCCTGTTTCCCTGTTTCCCTGTTTCCCTGTTTCCCTGTTCCCCTGTTCCCCTGTTTCCCTGTTCCCCTGTTTCCCTGTTCCCCTGTTTCCCTGTTCCCCTGTTTCCCTGTTTCCCTGTTTCCCTGTTCCCCTGTTCCCCTGTTCCCCTGTTCCTCCGTTCCCCTGTTCCTCCGTTCCCCTATTCCTCTGTTTTCCTGTTTCCCTGTTTTTGCCCTATGGCCCTGTTGCCCTGTTGCTCTGTTTACCTGTTTCCCTGTTTCCCTGCTTCTTCCCCGTTTCCCCGTTTCCCCGTTTCCCCGTTTCCCCGTTTCCCCGTTTCCCCGTTTCCCCGTTTCCCCGTTTCCCCGTTTCCCCGTTTCCCCGTTTCCCCGTTTCCCCGTTTCCCCGTTTCCCCGTTTCACCGTTTCTCCGTTTCCCCGTTTCCCCGTTCCCCGTTTCCCCGTTCCCCTGTTCTCCTGTTCCCCTGTTCCCCTGTTCCCCTGTTCACCTGTTCACCTGTTCACCTGTTCTCCTGTTCTCCTGTTCTCCTGTTCTCCTGTTCTCCTGTTCCCTTGTTTCCCTGTTTCTCTGTTTTCCTGTTCCCCTGTTTTCCTGTTCCCTGTTTCCCTGTTTCCCTGTTTCCCTGTTTCCCTGTTTCCCTGTTCCCCTGTTCCCCTGTTCCCCAGTTTCCCCTGTTCCCCTATTCCTCTATTTCCTTGTTCCCTTGTTTCCCTGTTTCCCTGTTCTCCTGTTTCCCTGTTCTCTTGTTTCCTTTTCCCCTTATCCTCTTGCTCCCCTGTTACCCTGTTCTCCTGTTCTCCTGTTCCCCTGTCCTCTTGCTCCCCTGTTCTCCTGTTCTCCTGTTCTCCTGTTCTCCTGTTCTCCTGTTCTCCTGTTCTCCTGTTCTCCTGTTCTCCTGTTCTCCTGTTCTCCTGTTCTCCTGTTCTCCTGTTCTCCTGTTCTCCTGTTCTCCTGTTCTCCTGTTCTCCTGTTCTCCTGTTCTCCTGTTCTCCTGTTCTCCTGTTCTCCTGTTCCCTTGTTCTCCTCTTCCTCTCTTCTCCTAATCTCTTCTTCTCCTATTGCCCTCTTTTATTCTTATCCTTTCGTTCTCTTTTGCCCTCTTCTCTTCCTTGACGATATTGTTGTTATTTTGATAATTTTCTTTGATAGGATGGCCCCAGGTAACATAAATAAAAACATACAATGGCATGTTCTGTTTCCATTGTGTACCATTCTCGTGGTCGGGTCAGCCGCTTTAAAGTTGCCATACGAGGTTCAACAATCAATTTTGGCCGAAAGTGAACTTGACGACCTCAAAGATCTGAAACGAGTCAACGTATCCGATGGGCGTGGTCCCACTCGCCCGATCTACCGACTGGATCTCGACCCTGACTATGTTGCTTACTACGAAATCGATACCGGACGTAGCTATGTCATCTTGTCTTCCAGTTCTAGAACTGGAGATTTTAGAATGGTAGAGCATGGCCCGGATCCGCGACCAACTGATGTGCTAATGCAGCAAGCTCATAAAAATGGTCAGCTGTGTAAGAAGTTTTATCGGCTCACACCGTGGGGACTGATGATTTGTTCGAATCAAAATGGAACGATCGTGGCGGCAAGTTATGATTGGGTGAATGATGTTGCTGAGGTGAGGCTCTCCTAAGATAAAAGCAGTGGGCTAAGAACCGGTGCTCACGTTCATTAAGACCCTCATCAACGCACTTACTGCTGCTTGGCATCCTAGAAGCGAACACTCACACCCTTAGGAAACGCAAAAAATTATGTTCCCAGAGAAATGTGTTGGTCATTTTCTCGAGCGCGTTACAAAAAAAAAAGTAAAGATTTTAAAACATAGACCTTCGGATTTCGGACTAACTATAGTAACGTACTCACAATAAGCCAAGTGAAGCTTAAGAAGTGGTAAGTCATATCAGTGGAAATATGTGCCGTGCCAGTGGAACTGCGTTAATACTCCCTCAACAAAGGTTCTCTTTGTCAACCGGGATGCCACTCTTCGAAAAGAAAAACTGAATTTTTAACTTGTTGGCTCCGTTTTATTTACCTTTGACAACCGGAATGTAGCCATACATGTTGGTATTCTAATTGCAAAATGAAAAGAAAAAAAATTACAAACGATAAAACAAAAAAACTTGAAACTTCATTCCATACATAATTCATCTTTAGAATCGGCTGGGAAACCTTCACAAATACATTTTTGGTGGACTGTCGCACTAACAAAAAGGCAAGAACAGGTTCATTTAACTAAAGGGGGCCCTGAGCCCGCTCACTTTTGTTGTGTACCGTATTATCGGGATAAATTGTAAAGGATTTTCCTGTTTGGGAAACTAAGATGTGGCAGTTTATCGTATCAAAAGATGACTGCATATACAAGTAAGACAATTCTGGCATGAGAATACTATTGATCTATTTGCCTAAAATGAGTGAAATTCATCTTTTCAGCTTCTATATAAGAACCAATTACGAAATTAATTTTTACTGTATAATACTTATTGATTACAAGTAAAGAGTCCCCATTTCTTGATTGCAACAGATTGATGATTGGCGTAAGTTGGACAATATGGTAAAGAAAAATCCTTCCGGATTTACCCAACAGTGGAAAGAGCGAGCAGCTCTCAGGCGTTCAAAAATAGACTGGGTCACAAGTGAAAAAACCTTTACAAGTGGAAGAATAAAAGAGGAAGAAACTTATGAAGAACCTCTCACCCCTGGTTCCATCGCTAAAGTAGCCCTTGGTGAAGGCTTTAGATCTGTGCGAATTTTTGTTACAAACTACGAAAAAAGGGGGGGACAGTGGCAGAAGAGACTCTGTAAGGTACTCGTAGATATTTGCTTGCAGGAAGAAAATACCAAGGTCAATCTTTCTGTCATAGCAAAGACAGCCAATCACATAGCTTACATTAGGCTTGTGGTACGCGGCAACTGGAAATATGTCGGAAACGCTCTGCAATGGAAAGAACTAGGCTTTTTCATCGAGTTTATGTCACGGAAAAGCGAACGGATTCGTAGACATTTTGTAATTGATTTGCATCGTAAGCGGTCACAGCGCTCTCCAAGTGGTGGTAATAAAGGCTCCATTTCCTATGAATCTGAGTTCCCTGATTATAACCAGCATAAGTGCTGTGGTGGCTGTTACAGTGGATGTGTTCCGGTTGCCTGGGCTCAGGTGTTCGGGTACTTCGACAGGATCTCCAAGTATAACTCTATGTTCAGTTCAAGAATTTTTGGAGATAGTAGCACCATGGCACCTTTGCAATTGACAGGTGCAGTAAAGATCTTCGTAGAAAGCCTTCGACCATATCTCAGAACGTGGTGCGATGGAGGTCAGGGAGCAACAAAAATTCGCAACATGCACCGTATCAAACCATGGTTTAAAGAACGACAAGGATCAAAAGCAGTGGTCAAAGGTTACCGCCGGCCATGGAGAAAAAGCTCTTGGATGGTGTCAAAAGGTGTCTGGTTTCTAAAATATGGTTATCCCGTGGTCTTTAGTTTTTATGTCGACAACGGAAAGAAAAAGGCCGCCCACGCTGCAGTCGCCACGAAGTTCACAACGAAGTCAACAACCTATCGTCATTGCCAGAAGAAGAAAACTGGATGGTGGGTTGGAAGAAAGACTAAGACAGTCTGTAATTGGAAAACTGACCATTACATCGAGTTCTTCATCCATTATGGCTGGGGAGGAAGTAACAACAAGTGGCAGTCCGTAAGTCCGACGAGTTTACACGTTGCCTACATTTCAAAGTGATGTCTTATGACGTTTCACAGCAATATTGCCGTTGTTTCTGAGTCGGAGCCCTGCAAATGAAAAAAAGCATTTACTTCTTTGCAAAAATTTATTTAAATAGGTTTTATCGTCTGAAGTAGATTTTTTGAGGGGAGGCTTAACACGTGCTTTCAATGAACAAGTGAAAGCTAAATATGGGGCTTAAACGAGGAGGGAGGAAGAATTTAGCGTTATGTAAAGGCGTTTATGATAATTATGGTATAGAGGATTCAGCAATTAAATTAAAGGGTATCGAATAAAAATACTTTCGCCACCTTGATTATTTCCGACGAGCCACAAAGGATGTTACAGAGGCGCCAAGTACTACCACTACTGCTACCACCACCACTACTACGACGACAACCACCACCACCGCCACCACCACCGCCGCCACCCCCACCGCCACCACCGCCGCCACCCCCGCCGCCACCACCGCCGCCACCACTGCCGCCACCACTACTACTATTACTACTACTATTACTACTACTACTACTACTACTACTACTACTACTACTACTACTACTACTACTACTACTACTACTACTACTACTACTACTACTACTACTACTACTACTACTACTACTACTACTACTACTACTACTACTACAACTAATACTACTACTACTACTAGTATTATTACTATATACTACATATATATTTACTTTTTGGTTAAGCATATCAAACTAATTGTTACTATGCTTTGTTACTATGCTTGCATAATGGAGGACTACACCGACTTAGAAAAACAGCAAAGCTTTCTCAAATTTTTTGGGTGGTGTTGGGAGATTTTTATATTTTGACTTATAAGTGTTTTTGATAACCTTCATTATGAAACGTTTTTCTCATTTAACAGCCGACGAGTTTATGACAACTATATTCATAGTTTGAAACTATACAATCGTTCGTGCTTTTCGATTCAATGTTTTTTACTTTTTATGGTGATACAATATAATTTGAAGGCCGCGAAGATGTGATAAATGGGTGAGGTATAAAGACATCTTATGATCGGTCTAAACAAAAAATAAAGAGGGAATAGCGAGAGAAACTACGTGATGATTGCTTGAGTTAAGCCTTGTTGGGGGTTTGATAAATCGATTATTTGCCAGTAAAATGGCTAGGTCATACTATTTTAGGCAAATTCTCAACGAAGCAAATTCCGATAATTACATGACACCTGAAAAAAGATGCACTAAAATCATACGAAATAGAAAAAATTCTTGAATGAGGCTGGATGGTCAAAACCGTACATTTGCAACATTTTGCGGTCAACTAAATGAACTTGATTAAAAAGAGCCAATTGACTTCCAGTCACATCAATTTTATCGGAATCAGTGTGTGCTAAAAGGCGTACTTTTATGGTTATTAATAAAGATTTTGCTTCAAAACAGAAATTGCCATAAAAACGGTGATCTAGTCATCTAAAGGAAGAAATGCTCATTACTCAAAAACTTCGTTCTGTGAAAGCAGTTATCAAAACAGTGTTTTTATATAAAGAAAACGCGAACAAGAAAATTCATAAGAGCTTTGTTCGCACAGGAAGAAAGAGCGAAGGTTTCTTAAAAGCTTACTTTAGTTCATGCTCTGCTATTTCTGAACCTTGTAAAAAAATCTCGATCATGTTTATGCTCAATAAATGTGGAAGAGAATGGTTTCACTGGTTTTCCTATTATAACTAATATTTGCCTACATTCATTGCGAAAAGTAAAATGTAATATACTCTAATGTAGGAGAGATAAGTCGATTGACTTATGGCACATTTTTAAACTTTGATTTTCCAGCAGACTACAATTTTACCCTGGGTCTTTTCCCGGTTCATCGAGCGCCCAGGGGTTTTGAAAACTGCATGCACGCAGTCGATGACATTACTCTTATCTTACAAAATGACTTGCATTGAAGTTTATTCAGCCACTTTACTAGCTGATCAGGAAAAAAAAGATTTTCGCGGGTAACAATAAATGCAACAGAATAGATGAACAGGTTTTGCCGCCAATTAAGGGTAATTAACTAATTAGATATATTACTTTTTGGTTCAGGTGGGATCAGGCACACATGGTGGTGGTAGTGATCAGTCTTGCTGGCAGCACTACGTTTTGTAAGATTTACGAGACGGATTAGCTCATGTAACCTGCGTTTTGTCAAAAATATAATGAAAACCAATATCAATAGAAGCCCAGGAAATTGAAACTTATTTTTTTGAACCTTGAAATAATGCATCAAGAGAGGTGTATTGCCATTTCATTTCAGCGTCTTACGTCAAATTTATTTTTTCTTCATTGATATAATTTCTACCATACTTAGGTTATATCGGTACAAAATTATTCATCAAACAATTCACATTTTGTCTGAGTTTCCAAGAAAAATACAGAGTTAAATTCTACACATAATTACATCATTTCATAACACATAAATAATAATTGTATATCTCAATTGCTATGGGATTGCACTCTTGACTTCCTGATAACTAAAATGAATAAGACTGAGTGGAGTCTAACTCGGTCTGTAATAGTGCGAGTGATAACAACATCATGAGTATCACGAGTATGACAACAAACCGAATCGGACAACACGAAGTCTTCTAACTAATTAATCATAAAAACTGAAAGTTCCGAAAAAAGAGGAATAGCTAAGTTATAAAAAAAAAGAGAAAAATTTGCTACAATTTAGGAGTCTGTACAGTACTGTTTCCATCGTGATTGAAACCAAGGTTGAGATTGGTTGATATAAACTACAACTTTAAATGTGATTCCTTTTAGAACTGTCCGATAACAAACTGTCCGATAACAAACTGTCCGATAACAAACTGTCCGATAACAACTTTGCAAGGGAATTAGTGAAAAAGAGGAATTTTTCTAACCAATTACAATCAAGGAAATCGTAATTTTTATGATTAATACCAAAATATCGTGAATAGTTCAATTCTATCTGCACCCACAGTTGACCGTTTGCTTGACTCTTTCGCCAGCACTCAACGTCAACCATCGATATTTCGGTGGGAAGCATTATGCAAACCCATAATCAGGTATATTCCGCAGGCACCTGATGCTCAGAGACTGAATTAAGTCCTCCATTTCCTCTTTGCACTCAATACTAGAAAACCTCTACACATTTCGTAAAAACGGTTGTGGTTATTCGTCGTGGTGAATAACATTAAAAGCTAAGTTTTTCGTTTGTCTCACGATGTAGTCACGTGTGATTTAGATCGCGACGTTCCCACTGCATACTGCTAGTCTTCTTCAGGCGATGAGGTCGACTGGTCATGCATGATCTTATAAAGCATGATGCTCTGCTGTGATTAGTTGTTTTTCAGCGGCTTTGATTGGTGCATTTCAATCCTTGCTGTTTCACTCAGTGATTTGCTCCCTCGGCAGTCTGCTGTCGCACGACTCTCCTGTTGTTGTGTTTTTTGATCGTGAGTATCGACGCTTCTGGAATTTCTATTCCACTATCCTTGTTGATGTTGTCATGGTGAAGTCTTATATGAATTGCCTCTTTGACCTTGCACGCGTAGTAATAAGGGTCACGATCAATAAACTTTACTTCGTTTCAGAGTGGCTTGTGTTCGGTGTTGTGGGTATGCTCTGAAAAGGCGGAGGTCTCGGTAAGGGCGAGTTGGACGTCTCGATCGTGCTCCTTAATTCTGTCTTTCATAGGTCTTCAGTCTCTCCGATGTACACCTTGCTGCATTCATAGAGAATCCTGTAAACTACGCCATACTGCGTTTTACTAATTGAGGGTGGTGTGAATCATATGCTAAGTGTTCATCGGTGTGCGTGGGCTTCCTGTATACGCTGGTTGTGAGGCGGCCGTCAGGTTCTCTTCAAACTGAGGTATCTAGGAAGGCGAGTTGGTTGTCTTTCTCTGTCTCCGTGGTGAAGCGGATGGAAGGCTGCCTTTTTTTTTTAGATGCTGTAAGAAGTCATCCACGTTTTCGCGATCCAGGATGGTAAAGGTATCGTCCACGTAGCGTTTCCAGATCCTAGGCTCGTGAGATGATGTAGTTATCGCCTGTTCTTCGAAACTCTCCATGTAGAGGTAAATAACAGCGGAAACAGGACTCCTCATGGCGGCGCCGTCTTTTTGCTCGTAAATCGGTCCATTATACTGGAAGTATGTGGATCTCAATACGAAGGTCAAAAGGTCAGCGATCTGTGCAGTCGTTTGCGTGGTGAGGTCTGCAAGGCTAAGGTCGTTCTCGAGTTTCTGAGGTGCGGCTTGTACAGCAGCATCGATAGGAACGTTTGTAAACAGCGACTATACGTCGAAAGATACAATGATCTCGTTGTCTAGGATCGTCTCATTGCTGACGGTGGATACGAAGTGAGCTGAATTGGTTACCGTGTACTCTGACTTTCCTGTTAAAGAAGATAAGATGTTGGCTAAGTAAGCGGATAAATCATATGCAAAGGTATTTACGCACGACACAATAGGTCTTAGCGGTACATCGGCCTTTTGTATGTTCAGTAAACCGTAGATTCTAGGCGACTGTTTGTGTCGGGGTCTGATCTTGTTGTAAACGGTCTCTGATAGATATTCGCTTCGCTTCAAGGTAAGCAGCTTTTCCGGCAACTTGCGGGTCAGACGATTTGTCGGATCTTTGTTGAGGAGCTGTTACGGTCCGTTCTCAATAAGCGTAGACATCTTAGCTCGGTAGGTGTCGGTACCCTTGACCACGTTAGCGCGCCCTTTGTCTGCTGGGAGAACCATGATGGACTCGTCTTCTTTCAGGATTTTAAGTGCTTCTCGCATATCCTTCGTGATGTTAGGCTCTGGTGGTTCTGCCTGTTGAAGGATACTAGTGCCGATCACCCAGTCATTCCCAAGAATTTGCAGCTCGACTTTGATTCAAGTTGTGCTTTTATCGTTTCCGCGGGACCTTTGCTTTTCTGAACTGATTCAGTGTACATATGTTTTAAAGCGAAATAGCTTTAAATAGCTTAAGTATTTAAAAAGCAACTTCGTGTGACTGTTAAATGGGTCGCATCCATATCTACCTTAAGAGCGTACATCTTACCTTTGAAAACAAGTTTATCTCCATTCTAACTTGTTAAACTGGCTTCTTCGAATTTTACTGGGGAGCTGTCAGCGTCCTAGCTTTTACTGCACTAGATCATCACTCAGCTTCATATACTATCAAATGTTTGTTATTTTCAAGAATTCAACTTCCAGGGTAAGTTCTAGGGTAATTTTGTCGCGTCAAGCTGAGCCAAATAACTTCCATGCAGAATTCCCGCTTGCAAGTGCCTTCGCCGGATTCAGATCTTGTTAGACTGAATGGGATGTATGTGTGCATGCAGATTTTTATGAGTGGAGTGGAAAGTGCTC